CTTTTTCTACACAGCTTCTGCTTGGCTAGAAAAAGCGAGCAAAACACAGCACAGTCCCGTTAGGTTGAGCTTTCTTTTCCCATCTTGTTCCAGTAGTTCTTCTGTGCTTAAGCTCCAGTAGAGCTCTATCCTTCAAAAAATAAATGGTCGGTTTAGATAAACTGCTCTAATCTCTGCCTCTGTGGGAAATGTTTTACCCGAGACATCCCAAGCTTCCATTGCCTCATTTACAGCTGCAGCACTTCCAATTAGCAGACAGATTTATTCCCTTCTGCGATCTCCAGGTCTGCCCAATCTTGAAACCTTTCCTACTGCATTTCATAACATTCCCCTTTAATCTGCCATTCATTCTTCCCATGTGACATGCAGACTGACCTTAGCTTCCTTGGCTGCTTTCATCAAAGTACCTTAACCTCGTTTCCAAGACCAATGGAAAGCCCAGAGGAAAGTCTTTGCCAGAGGAAATCTTCTGATTTTCCTCCCATTCAGTAAGTACTTCCCCTCTCATGAAAAAACGTTATGTCCTCCTCAATTACTCTTTATTCACACTGCAATTCTTTTAAGTCTAAGTCTTTTCAGGGCAAAAATAAATTTGCAGGTAGGCCAGTACCATTCCATTTATTGAAGTTCGCCAAAATTAGATCTACTGCACTTCCTTTGGGTCTATTTTATCAAATAAATTTAATGCAAGTTCTACACCACACTGAGAATTAGTTAATGTCTATGACAAATTATTTCTCTATGTAGCTTTTCACTGATTTGAAAGAAGCCTTAAAAGCTGCTGAAACACAATATAGCTTTGTCAAAAAAAAGGCTGCAAAAAAACCAAAGATTACATTAAAACATATACTTCCATATACAGAATCAAAAAATACGTAACATTAATTTGATTTTTGTCAATATTACACAGCAGATGACAATATTTACTGTGAGAATAGTTCTTGCAGTGTAGAAACAAAGGGAAAAGGTTGGATGTTGTAATCATATGAAAAAAATAACACAGAGATGTGACAAGAATATAAATGAAACAGAAGGCTTCAAGCTTCAACAAAACTCCCAGCAGATACAAAGAACCTGGAACAGTCTCATATTTTCTTATGTTATTGCAAAAAAAATGCTTGTCAGCATTGTAAGAATTCCACTTATTTCAGAAGACATTTTTAATTAACTATAAAACAGATACAGAAGCATCTCTGAAGAGAGTATTTAAGTCATATTTCAGGGTCCAGATAACCCGAGTCAAGTTGTCCTGTGCACATTCACTGTCTTTCTTCAGGAACAAGTTCTGAAATTGCTCTGTTCCACATATTCACCTACCAGGGATTCAGGTACCGACTGATAAAAGCCACGCTGGTGCCCACTTCATGTCTCAGCTGCCCCACGGGGCTTCAGGAACTTTGAAATCTTAAGGAGTATTCCCTTCAGGAGCACAGTCCCRTAACACTGGAGAAGGGCAAATAAAGTGCTCTAGGTAATTACAGACTAGTCAGCAAAACATCAATATTTGGTGACAAATTGTTAAGCAAGCAAGCAAGCAGGCAGTTTGTAAGCACCAAAGAGAAAATAAGATAAGAAAAAGCCAACACAATTGTCAGGAACAATTCATGGCAAATCAATATAATTACTTTCAAAACAGCTGATCTAGCAAAAGGAAGGGGCAGGTCAGTGCACTAAACAAACAACAGGAATACTGTATATATGAAGGTGCACTTATTCTGGGCCAGAAGAGGTTGAAAGGAAAGATTCGAATTGCTCCTGTACTAATACAGGGGAAATAAATGCCTAGGATGTCAGTGCTGAAAAAAATGGATTTGTGGTTGCRCTAGAAAACAAACACAAAAGGAATTAGTAACAATAATCTTAAAAAATGTATATTTTAGCTAGGAAAATACTAATCTATGCCTGCATAAAACACTCAGTAACCATTCTGCCATGGAAGTATAACCACCATTGAGTCCTGCCCTAGGTTCCATGCTTAAAATGAAGATAAAATGGAACAGACTCATAAAAAGACTAAAAGACGATAAATTCTGAAAAACACAGCCTATGAGAAGAGAACAAGGTTTGTTAATTTGGCRAAAGAGGAAACTAAAGCTGTTTATGTGACAGATGGCAGGTCAAGTGTTCTCCAAGTCCACTGAAGGAGAGGAGGAAAGACAAGAGAAACCTGAATTAAGCTTGCGGCAAAAAAAGATTGAAGATTAGTAAACATCCTCTACACAAAAATTCTGGGCATCTGAGTATAATAAAAAGATTATAGAATGTCCCTCGCTGAAATATTTAACAAAAGTACTAGAAAAAGATGTTTAAGAACCAATATAGTTAATAGTCTAGTATTAGACTATTACAAGTATATTATACAGGTATTATAAATACTTGATGGTGCCATAGTAACCGTTGACTTAAGAGTCTTCAGGATATTTATATCCAATAAAATCAGTGTATGCCATGCATTTATCATATGATGGTGATGTTATTTTTAAGGCATCTGTTTTGTAACTAAATAATTTATCATCGATCATGAAATCTATTTTCTAGCATTCCTCTTCGCCTTCATAGAAGTCTAGCAATTTTTACTTTTAAAAAATATTTTTTAAATTTTTTAATTTTTAATTATAGCATAGTTGGCTTCCTTTCCTATCCCCATTCCTACAAAAAAGCAAGTAGATGACATTTAGCTCTTTTTTTTTTTTGAAATGTAATTTTTATTTGCACAAATTAATTCACAGAAAAACACGACACAGCTCCAAACTCATTTCTGAGTGCAGATCTATTCCTCAGAATGCAGTTGGTGCAGTTGATGTTGTTTAGGAAAGTCTTTTGGGCATTCTGAAATATATAGACTGATGTAATTGAGTGTTGAATTGTGATCATAARAAGAGAGACAAATTTAATTAAAATAAACACTTCAAGAACCAAATCAAAAGCTGATATATGCTTACCAAGTAGTCATCAAAACAAGCCAAGTTCTTCATTGGTTATTCTTTCACAAGATTTGAGTTAATAAATCTGTACAGAAAAAATGCTCATTTTTTGTCCTGTTTTATTGTCTCACATCTGAGCAGAAACTTTCWTTTTTCTTTTTAACCAGTGCAATTCTCCCCCAAAATTGCAAAACAACATTTGTATTAATATTAACAGTTTAAGAATTCCCTTCCAAAGTACGTGAAATTGAGTGATTGATATAAAGTATGCTCCCATATTCAATGCCAGAAATTGGCAAGACTGCAAATTATCTAGCATTACAAAATGTTGTAAAACAGCAAAAACACTCTATCAAGACTGTTTGAAATAAGATGCAAAGCACCCATGTGTGCAAAGCTCCCCAAATGTTATTAGCTACAGTTTGTATCTCTCATACTGCATCTCTTATTACAAGCAGTTTTACTGTTTCACCGCCTCATTTCCAGCATCACTATCTCATTGCACTGAAGACAGAAATTCAGCTCATATATTGCCAAGTGCAGCTTGGAAGAAACAGCCAAAGTTTTCCTGGTATTAGTGATGAAAAACATGATACTTCTGCAACTACAATGTACCTATGCATTAATACTGATTAGCATACATTTCTGGTTTTTTTTTCTAAGTTATGTTATTAAAATGTTTTAAGAGTTTGAGGTAAATTCACAAAAGAAGCAGCAAAGCAAACCTATGGAATGATTTTGCACATCAAAATGCAGCTAAAAGAACTGCTAAAATAGCCTTGGACATGAACAATGTTGCATATAATATAACTCAAATGTATACATACCCTACCTCAACTATCACTGTTAGTTACTCTCTGGGCAAAAATTCTCTCATTTCAGCTAGTGCAGTCCTCTTGCCTGAACTTCCACACAGCAGTTCTGCGTCTGTTACTTTTACTGCAAAATAACATCTAAATCATGGCAAGACACTCGCTGAAAGCTGGTAATTAGCAACAACAAGGAAGTGTGATGCTCACTTGCCACCTCATGGTCAAAAAACAACTGTGTGATTCAAATTCAAGTCTTTGGACCTCAAAAGCTTTCAGAACACGGCCACAGCACTCACGGGGCAACACTGAGTTGCAAGCAGGATGCACGGGTTTACACTGCTCTGATCTGGAAATAGCAAAATAAGTAAATGAAAGCCACAACACTAGGTCCAGCAACTACCCTGCCACTCCTGCTTTGCAAATGTCCCTCTTTGACAGGCAACAGGAGCAGTTACCAGTGGTTACCAGGATSGTAACAGGAGTGCTGGGCTTTTCACTTGGCAGGTGTACAGTGGTGTGAAGGTCCAGAGCCAGCCCCAGARGGTGTATCCTTTGAACAGAAGGTTCTGGGAGTCAAGAAAACAGTTTCGCTTTCATCTCAGCACCACCATCACCACCATGCTGTTGCATGAAATTATATTTACCTCCTACACTACTTAAGATGGAAAAAAAAMCAGTAATGCAAACAGCAGAATGCTATAGAAGCAATGATATGCTATGTGTATTTAAGTGTASTTATTACTTCAGGCTAGATCAGCCTCTGTTTTCAGCAACCCAGTACAATATTGTCCCCAGCTGCTGATAAGCGTAAGGCCAGGAACAGTCTGGGAGCACATGTGGCTTTCTAGGGATGCAAGCAGATGCTGCTTGYACATCCTTATTTTTGTGTACATCCTATCTTGAGATTAGGCACATGTTTATTGTATTTTGGCTACATGATGGATGTATTGCAGTATCCATATGCATATGCTTTCGTATGGATCCACCCTGGCCAAACTGTCATCTAATGAGTTTAAAGGCAARTGTTTAGTAATTACATTATTGTGGTTGAGAATGTGATGCTCTTTTTTTCTGATACCATTAAAACATGATTCAAAATTGCTGTAACAAAGATTACTTGGTCGGAACATGAATTCCTTAATAGAGTTTTTATGGCCTAAGCCTCCCTTAGAAGCAATCAAGGGCAGTCTGGCAGTAAAAACAACTCTTAAGCCCAAGAGCTGCTGAATAAACTAAGCTCTGAAGGGTAAAAATAATCACTTACCTGTAGAATCTTGACTCAAAGTTTCTTGGCTGCTACTGAAGGAAGAAGCCACTGGAGTAATAGAGAGTGAAGCTGGGCAGGATAAAGGACACGCCAAGTCATTTTGCATAGGAAAACAGTGACATACAGGAACAACAGTATCTTCAGTAAAGGTGACATGGAGGTGATGGTYCCCATACACACAAGGGTTTTTCCAGCGAAGCAGCCCTGTTGCAGGAGCTCCAACAGCATCAGAACCTGACAACAAATAGCTGGAATTAAAACCTATGCCCTGTTATTGAGTACCTTATAATTTTGAAAAAGGAAGATACAGTAAGAGAATATCTACTCCTATTTTGGTCTTTATGTTAGCCTGCCCCTTTAGAAGAAATGGTACATTTTAACCTAGTTCACTATCAACAATGCTGTTAAATGCTCATCCAGCTCTAAAAATAATGAAAGAAGCCATTGCAGTCCCAGTGTGTATTTGCTCTTTGCTATTGTCCTGCTCATGCTTAGATAACCRCAGGACCTCATTTACACATTACAAACTGGAGGCTTTTCAGGAAGACCAGAAAGCAGATGTCACCAGTCATTTTATGAACATCTGGCTGGGATCTGCTGTCTTCTGTATCATCTCCAGGTAGGTTCAGATTCAGGGGACACCAGACACAGGAAGACATGGCTGCTTCACTGTCTCCTCACGTCCTGTCCTGTGTCCAGACTGCCTAGATGCAAACCTTGGCACTCATAGAATCATAGAACCATTAAGGTTGGAAGGGACTTTTAGAGAACACCTGGTCCAGCCCCCCTGCACACACAGGGTCACCTAGAGCATGTCGCACAGGGTGGTGTCCAAGCGGGTTTTAAAGATCTCCAGAAGAAGATTCCACAACCTCTCTGGGCAGCCTGTTCCAGGGCTCTGTCACCTGGTGAAGGTGACAAGAAATTTTTCCTTAAATTCCCGTGGAAGGTTTGGTGCTTCAGGTTTGTGGCCATCTCCTCTAGTCCTGTTGCTGGTCACCACTGAAAAGAGGCGGCCCCATTCTCCTCACTCCCTCTTTTAAGGTATTTATAGACACTGATCAGGTCCCCCCTCAGCCTTCTCTTCTCCAGGCTGAACAGGCCCAGCTCTCTTAGCCCTTCCTGATAGGGCAGATGTTCCAGGCCCTTGATCATCCTCATAGCCCTGTGCTGGACTCTCTCCAACAGCTTCACATCCCTCTGGAAAGCCCAGAACTGGACACATGCTGCAGTGCTCAGTAATTCTTCTCATATCAAGTACTTGCTTGGGCTTTTCTCCATCTATCTTAGCTGTTCTTTAAATTTGTTTTTATTTTACATTGAAAAAAAAAAATCTTTTTCTGTCTTTTTTTTTTGGGGGGGGGGGGGGGGGGGGGAAGGCAAGGAGGAGGGAAAAATATGTTCCATCTTACTATGATAATGGTCTATGACACTGTGATGAAAAAAAAAACACATCATGCCACAAAGAGAAAATCAACTCTCCAAAAAAACTTTGAAGTGTTTTTTTCTTTAAACTTACCTGTACACTGCAAAATAAGTGGACTTACTGCAAGAATTTTTGCTTTTGACCAATTCTTTGTTCAATCAATGTTCCTGTTACTGAATTTTCTTCTTAAATCTCAAGTCCATGACATTTGCAACATTGGTAGTATTTTGATTGAAAATGTTCACAAAAAAAAAATGGACTACTGAGTGGAGGCAAATGCTTCAAGTCTGATGTGAGCACACACACACACACGCACACACACACACACACACACACACACACGCAGTTATGGCAGTGTTCACATGAGACTACAAAAGCTGCTTTGTGAAGCATTGAAATATAATGCAAGAACGGGGCACAAATTTTCAGGCATGGTCATTTGATGAATCCGTCTGTGGAAAAATAAAGCATTTGAACCATTTATCATATCAGACTGCACCTGGCAAGTCAGACTATGGGCTAATATCTTCTACTATGGCAGTATGAGAATATCTGAAGTGATACTACTGTTCAGTAACTCTAAATCTCATTTAGCATGTGTAATACATACCTAAAAAAAAAAGGCAAAATCAAAACACACACACCCCCTTTTCCCTCAAAAGAGCCAGCAAAGGCCACCCAGTTTGGCTGCTCCATGAAGAAAACTGCATGTTACAGCTGAAAGTTCAATCAACTATTGCATGATATTGCTAGATAGTAATGCAATAGTTTAACAAAAAAGTTTCAGCCTCCCTAATTTCACTGCTTTCTTTTACTCAGCTTTGCCTCATGCTTTTATAGAAASCTAGAATTGATAAATTTTCTAGGAATTTAACTTATGATGAATTTAACTTATTAGATTTCTTTAGCAACCATAACCATACAATTTATTTGGACGTACCATTCACTGGAGTTAGCAACAGATGGCTTTGTCTAGATGCATCTAGAGGGAGTTTTTTTCTCCCTCCAGCTCTTCTAGGTGTCATTAGTATTTTTGTATATTATTTTTCCACTAAATAAATACAACACTTATTCCGTGACTGGGATATGTGAGCAGTCATAGAGCATATGACTTCTATGATGAATACTGAGAAAAAATTAAAACGTTAATACACATATGTGTATATAGGACATGGACTTTATAATCTGTAGATAAAATTCTAAAAATCCATACCAATTCCAGCATTTGACTGCATGTTCACATATTTCAAATAAGCTTGCAGCCACTCCTTTCTTGAGTATAATTTCCAGTATCCATGGATTTTCGCTTTTATCAATAGTASTTAATTTCTTAAATTTGTCGGAAAGTACATGAAATTAATTATTTATGAGAAAAAAGCCACAAATACAATATAAGGAAGAGATGTTAGTTATCTTGTTTATTCCTTCACTATTTTATAGCTGTTTTTTTCCTACACCACAAACCACCAGCTTCACTTTGAGTTTTATCTGCAAGAGTGCATATGCTGCAGCTCTGAGTGTGCAACATACACACTATCCAAGACTGAAAAAAATCTAAGCTACTCTATAAAAAGTATATAAATAAAACTAAAATTTCTCATAATGCCTCTCGAGTCCTTCAAGCTTTTAATTGACGTGACTAATGAGATTAAACAAGTAAACAACCACTTTCACCTTGACCACTTCTAGTGAAGGTTTTTTAGCCACATAAAAATAATTGCCCAATAGAAGTAATGCCTGCGGAAATGCATATATACAGTTATTATATAAGTGCTCTCTCTATAAAATATATTTACACCACCCATGAAAGCACCTATACACATGTGTGTGTCCATACAACTCAATTTCTTGCATGTGTTTTCCAGGCAACTCAGTTGTAGAGCAACGCAGCTGGGATACTCAGGCAGCCGAAGTAATATTTTAAGTTGCTAAACTGCAAAGCTGTATCCAAAGACTCCTGTGTGCTCAGTGAAGTTATAGAAAGTTCTCAAGAAAAATGGTCCCAAAGACCACTTAAGGAAATGGAGACCACTTTAAAAAGTTGTCAGTTCAAAACTGTTCAAAAACATGTATTTTGATGTGAACCCTATGCCAGGGATGGCTGCTGGAGGCAAGGCTAGCCTTCGAGCAGGGACAGGCAAGTGGACTTGGCTGCAGGCTGCATTTCTACCTGCTTTGCTTAACCAGCTGACAGCAAACTGGCAGCCGAAACAGAAGAACGTGTCTGATGTAGTAACTTCCACAATAATTACATATTTAAAAAAAAAAAAAGTCTAATTTTTAGCAATTCTAATAAAAGACAGCAATATCTAGTTCTTAACATAGCTTCTCGGTCACAAGGCAGGAGGTGCTGAAAAGCCTTTAACGGGACAGCTAAAGAGAATAAGAGAATTTACAGAGGGACACACTGAGGTAGTTACAAATCTACAGACTTCGGGTGCAGCTCTGATTTGCAAAATAAAAATAAGTAAATAAGAAAAATCCCATACACCCTTTATTACAATAAGTTGYACGTACCAGAAATGTTTCTCCTAGTATACATAAATTTCAGACACTTCATACTGCCTTAGAGTTTTTCCATAAGCCGTGCCCCCAAGGAGTAAACTCTAAAATTTGAATACCAACCTCCTCACCCCAGTTCCTCAAGTTTTTCCAGGGCACAACCCCTGGACGGGGTTCCCCACAGACGGGAACTGTGCTCAGCATTTCCCTCTGTCTCCTCAGCTTTCTGCACAGTGGCTTGATTGGCGCCTGGGAGGTTTCCCTCCCTGCTGTGCCAGGGGAGCTGGTCCCAAGCTTGGTCCCTCACATATATTCTCTTTGCAGAGCTGAAATCGCCTGTGTGCTCCGGAGCAGCRATGCTCAAAAATAACCCCTAGGGCTCCTCTTCCCACCAGAACATAAATACTGTAGCTCAGTAAAACACCCTTTTTTCTCCTTTAATGTAATGACCAGAAAATAAGAGACAGGAAGAACGAATGCACCCTTGCTGGTCCATGGGACCCCCCTACCTGGCGCGGCGGCCGAGGCTCCGGGGGGCTCGCAGGGCTCGCTCCGTGCTGCCCGCCGCTCCCTCCCGCTCGCCGGCTTCTGGGCGGCCCCCATGGCRCAGCTCCGTCCTCTCCGCGCGGCCGCCTGCCCCGAGCGCCTGCTCGGCGCCCGCCAGCTCCGTGCTGCCCACGTGCTGGCAGCCCAGCCCTGCCGTTTTGGAGCTGGGTTATTTATTTTTTTTTCCCCTCCTCTTTTCTCCTCCTCTGACCAAGGCGGAATGGGAACGGCTTTCTCTCCACAAGCAGCTAGGCAGGTTACAGTTTTTGAGGGCAAAACTTGCTCTCTCTCAGGGTTAGAAGCAGCAGGGGTGGCCGTGAGGAAAGTTCAAGATGAACCAAAGRCATCCTCACAGAAAAATAGTTAGTACCTCAAGAGGCAGCAGCAGCAGCGAGCTAGTCACTGCATAGCCCCTCTACAACAAAATAAGGGCAAATTCAAGAGAGTGGACAAGAGAATTTCAGCCCTGCACCTGCTCCTCAGCTTGATCTCTTGTCACACATGTCCCCATGCAGTGGACAATGCAGAAGCTCCAACAGACCTRTGGGGCCCAACGTGAGCCCCATAGACCCAACCTGCCACTGGGGAAGCTGGGACAGGCTGCCAGCCAGGCCCATGACAGACCAACTCCCGCTGGAGGTGCACAGCCCGCTCCCCTCTGGAGGTGCAAGGTYGGCAGAGGGTCCAGCCTCGCTGTGTGCAGAGATGCAGGCAAGCTGGCTGAAGCACCTGAACCACCATGGCCATGGAGACTCATGGA